CAATACTGTAAATCGATAGATTCAAAAACTTGAAAATCAAGTTTTTATTTGATTTTGCCGAATACTAGAATAAAGTCATAGGTTAAGCAAATATCTGGTCTAAATTTGGAAAAACTAAATTTCTTATGGCGTAAATCAGGTGTAGGGCGGTAAAACCGCAAGTCCTGCAGTCTGTGGCCAGTCTAGCCTTTATAGGTCAGACCAAAAAGACTATTGGTGCTAATATAGTTAGTATTAAATCATTGTAACGAGCATAGGAAAGATTAAAGAACACTGAACCCAGTGATCATCACATTACCACGTGACAATCACTCGGCCTATAGGGTAGGAGTTAGTTTAGGCCAATTTGTTTAGTTCTGGTAAACAAATGACGTCATCATGTGATTGTCGATCACTGGGTTCAGTAATCATTAAGTGTCCCGGAATTAGGTATACAAATCCAATATTTTTAACTAAAATGATTGTATAATTTACTTACAGTACATGGTTCAAAATTTATGCATTGCTATCACTAATAATAATAGACAGGTTTTTAGTTAGATGTGGCTTTTATGCAACTAAACGAGCAATAATGTAATAATTAACATGTTGGTGCAATTTATGTGGCATTTAATTATCAGTCCGTCCAATTTCATACTGATCGGTCCTAATCGGTCCTGGACCACGTCCGGTCCAGCTTTTTAAAAGACCGCCGGTCTTTGGACCAAGACAGACTGGATGAACTGATTAACAGCCCTAATTTCAACAACCACCTATCTAAAATAGTGATTTTTTTATATATTTTAATTATACAGACATATAAAATTAGAATAAAATTTTCAATGATTTTAGATAAATGAGTGTCTAGATATCTCTACTCAAAGTTTAGAGCAAAGCTTAAGTCTAGACAAAGTTAATTTTTTGGTACTCATAACCCGGCCGGGCCAATGAGTCCAGGAAGAAGAATTTAAATTTCATAAGGCGCAGTATTTAAATTGACCAATCTGAATTGAGCATAATTAATACATTGAAGTAGAAAGGCATTAACAAAAAAAAAACACTATACTGACTCATGTTCTAATAAACTTGAATCTGAAGGTAAAAAAGGCTTAATTGGTTTATCGATGAAGTGACAAAGCCAGAATTATTGTGAGATAATTTATTTGGTTATATAAACAAGGCATGTAAATATATGCAAAAGAAACTAAAGAAACTACGTATATGTATATGTAATAATTGAAGAATAATAATGTAATTTAGTTATTTTGTATAATAAATGTAGTAGGAAATTTGTATGCTATACTATAAGTAAATGTGTCATATGAATGATAAAGAATTTAACAATTGAGGATTTATAAGCATTCAATTTGAATCAATAAAGTCTCTATCTTTTGGTTTTGCTATTACCTGCTTTGCATTATTAGAATGGCTCTGTTGAATATATAGTATACTGAAAAAAACAAAAAAAAACAAACAATATTAGCATCTAATAGTGTTACAGATAATAAATTATCATCAATTACTTGGACTAAGTTGTTCTTAGGTGAATTACAAGACCTGTGTATAGTTTGCAGTTTAGCTACAAACAAAAATAAGGAAAAATTAAATACTAATTTAAAGGCCTATTTTGAAAAAAGGAAAGAAAAACTATCTGCAATGTTATTTAGAGATGAAGTTGGCATGAATAATTCTGATAACAATGTAAACCTAAGTAATTAGTAGAGTGAAAATGGAGGAAGGGAAAACCTAAAAAATACAGATTTTAACAATAAAATTAAAAATAATGATCTTTTCATTTTAGACCCACAGTGTAATCAGGGCTATTTTAAAAACAATGCTAATACATTGCCCAAAATAGTGTTAAGTCAAATAATAATTTAAACTTTGGCTCTTCTGATTTCTTTCTCTTAGCTTTGAAAAATATAGAGAAGAAAATAAATCAGAATTTTGTACTTTTACAAGACTAGCAAATTAAAGAAACAGAGAAGAAAAGTTTTTTAGATAAAGCATAGTCTAGAGTAAAATCAAACAAATCTCATAACTAATATGAATATGATTTTCTTATTAGAATTGAAAAAAAAACTTAATAGAGTTATTAGATCATTTGATTTTACCAAAAGTTAGCTAATGTCTATGAGGATGATATACAACCTCGTGCTGTGATGTTATGTTTAGCCAATAATAGAAAATAGACAACAGCATTGCAAATAGTTAGTAGCAATAACAAAATAATAGAAAAATATAAAAATCATATTCCAACTGTTTCAGCTTCACCATTTTACAAAGTACAGTTTTTATAAAGATAATAAAAAAAGTTCAAGTAACAAATATCATTATGCTTTAACCAATATTGTTAGTTTACTATAATTTTTAAAATTTTTTAGTAAATTTACTAGGCTGTCTAGTAAATTACTAGTAAATTTACTATTAGTTATTCTTAAGAAGGTTTATCTAATATAAAATTATGTGATTTGATAATTAAATTTATTTTTTTGGAGGCAATCAAATTACATAGACAAACTCAACCCTAAGTATATAAAGGTAAATTTACCACATATTTAGTAAATTATCTAGTAAATTACTATAATTTTACTATAGTAAATTTCTACTTGCAACTCTGGCTACAATATTATTCTCCAAATCTAAGCAAGGAAAAGTATACTAGCAAACCAAGAAAAGAAAAAAATCTTATCTCTTTTATGCAAGAAAAAATAAAAAGCCATCAGGTTATTCAAAAGCATTTACTTGTTATAACTATAGAGAAATTGGCAAATCTCTACAAATTGTTCTTCTCCAAATACAAAATCATTTATAAAATCTAAACAAGAAGGTTGACAATACTCAGGCTCCAATCAAAAATATAAAGCATACTTAGCAACAAATTCTTTACATAACAAACTTAGCATTTGGAAAGATCTACACTTTAGAAGCAATAAATTACAAAAAATGAAAATTTAGCCAGTACTTATAATATTGAATTGGTTAGAAAAAGAAATACTATTATGGCCAAGAATTTTTACTACTTGTAATAAAATCATACCCCAAACAATTTTCTCTATTAGCAGACCAAATAGAATAGTCTTTAATCAAGTTAGAGCAATTACAAAAAACAATAGCAATTCACTATTAGGGAAATCAACCAGAAAGACTAGACTTTTTATTAGAAGTTAGTTTAGTATTCTAGTACTCAAAAAGGGTTAAAAGAAATAGCAATTAGTAACCAATTTAAGAAGATTAAACAAAATATTACTAGAAAAGAGTTTCAAATTTGAAGGTTTAGAAGGGTTTTTTCAAATTATTAGAAGGAATTTATATATAATCATATTAGATTTAAAGAAAAGATATAACTATATACTAATGACAAATGATATACAAAATTTTTAAGTTTCGGAATTTTGAAAAAAGTGGTATTATTACAAAGTACTTCTATTTGGCCTGTTTGGATTTTTTAAAAATTATAAGAGCAATAATAAATATTAGAGATTATTGAGAATATTTTGTAGAACCATGTCAATAATATTTGGATAGTGTAATACAAAAAATTTTAAAAGAAATAAGAAAAACAATTATATATGTGGATTTAAGAAATTATAGTTTTGTAAGAGAGCCCAGCAAAGGCCATTATGAATCTATCTAATATCCAAAATTTTATAGTTTAATCCTGAATACTATTAAAGCCAAAGTAATTATACCAGAAGAAAAAATTATAGAAATACAAAAATTATTAATAGAGTATGCAAAGAAAAAATACATATTAGCCTGTTAATTAGCTGCAGTTGCAAAAAATTTTAAACATTAAACAGAGCTTTTTTTTAAATAAAAGTGCTATGTTTAGAATTTTATTCAACAATTGATGCAGCTAACAGAAAGTGCTGGGATACTCAAATAAGGCTGTTAGATCAAACAAAAAAGGACATATATTGGATTGCCAAAACTCTAGCTAAAATCAATAAGAAATTAGCATAAAAATCTTTGAAAGTAAAAGCAGTTTTTGTTGAGCATTGACAATTTGATTGTCAGCAGTTTGTAAAGGCCACATAGAAATTGGTAAATAAGAAAGTTATACAGAAAAATAACAAAATTAGAGTTAGAGGCAGTGTTATTACAAATAAAATTATTTGCAAACATATTTACCAACTCATAAATAGATCCTCATATAGACATTATGAAGCCTTTGCAATAGTAATAAAAGAAAGCAGTTTACTTTAATAAAAAGAAATTTTTGAGATTATAGCAGCTGTTCAACAAATACAATATTTGTTTGAACAAACCTTTTTGGGGTTCATCTTAGAAAAATATAGCTGATAAGCTAACTTGAGCTATAGACAAAACTGATTGGAAATTAAATTAGATAATGTTTGCTTGGTTGGAGGAAATATGAGGCTATATATAGTAGATTGTATACCAATTATCAGAATGCAAAAGTTTTGTATTTCAATAACCAGATTTATTGCTCTGTAACAGAGGTAGTAAACAGTCTTAAACAAGTTTGAAAAGGCAAAAACAATTATATTTGCTTATCTTTAGAACTAGTTTATCAAGTGTTGTAGCATGTAATGGAGAGAAATTTTATAGCAACAATAATAGTTCTATAATAAGTGTTAGCAAAATGGTAGCTACTATTAATAAAGCAGATAAAACTTCTCCTACTGCAAATAACCTTTGAAAAAGGAGTATTAGAAGAAGTGAAGCTGTAGAATAACCTAAGTAGAAATTTCAAGCAGTGAGAATAAATTAGTTGGTTTGCTATTAATCAGTGCCCAAGAATTGATAAATAATACAAGTTTTAGTAATTAGAGCAATCGACTAGATAAGGCCTAAGATACTTATTCAATTTTTGCAATATAACTAGCCAACAATTATTTCTATTATCAAAAAAAACAATTTTATTTTGCCTTGTATAGCTAGACTTGACAGATATTATATCAAGCTATTTATATATACTAGCAACAATATTAAAGAAATATTTAGAAACAGGTTTATCAAATTCTATAAAAAACTTCAGAGTAAGAAAAATTTGTAAAGCATTATTTAAACAATTAAGAAAAACTTTACCTCTTCTTATATAAAAGCTCTAAAGAAATTTATTGATTCTAAGCTAATATTTGCAAATAGCAAGTTGTTGAAAAAATGCTGCTTTAGTAGCAATTGGTATAAGAATAATGCATCATTCTGGAAAACTGTCAAATCTAAAGTTAAGAGATATTAAATTTAGCAATAAGTTGTATTGGATTAAAGTTTGTAAATCAAAAACAAATCAATTTGCAAATAGAAAATTTATTCTAATTAAGGAAATAAACAGCTCTTATTTTATGTTTTGTTATGTTGTTATATAAAACATTGAATAACTTATTTATTCTGCTATGCCAAAGAAATAATTAAAATATTCATTTTAGCAATACACTTATAGGGTGCAAAGTGCTTATATACTGCAGGAAAAATATTTTATTATTTCTATTGTTCTAAAAATAAATAGTATTTATTGTCTAGTTAAGCTACTAAAAAATTATATAGGATGTTCTATAGAATAAGTGAGCAAACTCTGCAAACTCTGCAACTCTGCTAAATATCTATTAATAATTACTAATCATTAGTGAGTTTATTTTCTATATTGCCTACTTATTCTATAGAATATACATTATATAAATTGCTGAGATAATATTGTTAAGGATAGCTCATTGTTTTTTTGACAAAACAGAAGAATATATATTAGTGAAAACTATTAGTGCAGTAGCAAAAAACTAGCTCAAAATGCAAATTTGGCTAGTTGTTATATTGTATACAGTATAGAATAGGCAAAGCAACTGCCACAATTTATCTTTAGCAAAATCAGTACAATTAGAGGATGAGACAGCAAAGCAATTATATTATATTTAAGAACAAGTATAATACAAATGCAAGTATCTTTATGTGCTTACCTCATGGTTGATAGATCATTTTATATTTAATTATATTTAATAGTTGTAAACTTGGACCTAACTGGATTGTTTTTAGCATATCTTTGATTAGCCTCTGTCAAATTTTTTAACTCAAAAATATCACATATGTGGTATATGTATTAATTGAATGCACACCCACAAAATAAAGCTAGTCATTAAATTTATTAAAAATGCTTTATTGATATAAGTAGTATATATCAGTGCTATTGATGTATAATTAAAATTAGCAATGCAAAGTATTAGTTAGTAGTTTCTCACTGCATGTAGCAGGCTGGTTATTAATCAGAATTTTTTAGTAGAAAAATTTATAATGTTTAGCATCTGCATAAAGCAGGCCTGGCATAGTTTTAAAAAATTTGCTTTTACTACAAAAATTGCAGGATTCACTGTTAAATAACCTGGTCATTTGCTTAAATTTTAAATAATCTAGTTATTTGGCTAAATGATCTAGGTTATTTGGTTATTAGTTATTTGGGTCATTTTTATATGAAGTAATTTTATTGGTTAGATAGCTAATATAAAAGTTATCCAATACTATGATTTTACTAAGCTATAATAGTAACTATATATAAAAGTTAAAACTTTACTAAGTTTATCAATATTTCATTTTAAGTAAAGTTGTTTATAAGAATGCATTGCTGTCTTAGTGATGACCAACACCCCTTGTGTTAATAATACTAGGATCACAAATTACCCAGTTATGATCATATAATGTTAATAGCATAATTGTTGATACATAAATTTAATTTATAGTCTATTTGTAAGTATTGCATCATATATATAACTGAGTAATCAAGTACCCAAATTGATAATCTAATAAAAGAGTATTGATTCCAAAGAAATCGATAATGTTAGTTTGCTTATTAGCTTAGTGAATACATGACTTAATATATACAGTAATATAGATAGTAGTGTCTGGTACAATACACCAGTGCCAAAGCAAGTACTTTGACTAAGTAAATCAAGCCCAAAGACCCATAACTGCAAATATATACGACAAAAGGACCTGGTTAGATCAAAGTTCTACTTACAAAATCTGTTAAAGAAACTAGTTTTATACTTTGTAAACAGAACCTTATTTGAAAAAACTTGGAAAGTAAAGTTTATAGCTAATATAATCAAGTGTATTAAGAAGTGAACATGGATATTGTTAGTGAAAAGTAAAAGACCAAAAAAAAAACAATAAAAAAAAATTATTATTATTAAACATTACCAAAGTAGTAAATAAAAAAAAATAGAAGGCAAAGGTTTTCTGATGTTGTTGGTTAAAAAGATAGCAGAAATTGTTGTAAAAGAGGTTATAAATAACCTAAATGCTATGTGGACAAAATGACAAAGGCCTCAACTGTGTTATATGTGTCGACACCAAGGACACTTAGCTTGATCTGACTCGGAACAAGCAAAATGTAAATGTCAGAAGTATGTTATAGACATACAATTATGAAAAGCAGTGATCCCAAAGTTGGTAATAAAAAAAAGGATAAACAAATAAGAAAGGATAAAAGAAAAAGAACTGTTAATAAGTCATTCAAGGGCAAAGCAGTACAAGAGACAAATGAAATCTTATCCGTGAAGACTATTGGAAATATGGATGATCAAAATGTTAGAGCTGAGATTAAAAAAGATAAACATAAAACGTTTATTGATTGTCAAAAATCTGCTGATATAAGTAGTGCTATTGAAACGATCAAAATTGAATATCATTATCAAGATAAACTGATAGTAGTAATAGAGGCTCTATTGGATGAAGTTACAAAAATAGATATTATGATAAAAAACTTACTAGAATCATTGATGTCCAATAATGAAAATGAATTGAAAAATAATTTTAAAATGAAGATGGAAATTGATAATGATAATAACAATATAAATAATGATATGAAAACTGATGTTAATATTGAAGCAATGCTAAATAGTATAATAATACCTGTGTCTATAAACAACAGAATAACTATAAGAAAAGGAATGACTTATACAAAGTTGATCAGATATTGGAATCAATCAAAAGTGCAAAAATCTGGTGATAATTGGAAACTAAACCAAATATTAGACATATTAGATCAAATAAAAAAAAGAGGATTCTATAGTCGATCTATTTTGATCATATGATCAGCTGCAATAGTGTGGAGCATGCGATATTTGGAAATCGAATCAACATGTATTTGGGTTTGAAACATTAGTGAAAAAAAAACTTTTATTATTAGTATTTGCACTATATTTTAATATATGTCTGTAATTTGTTTAGTATGACTTATGCATTTGTATTAGAATATATATAGCGTTAGATTTTGCAAAGTTAAACTTTAGAATGAAGTTTATTGGAGATTTAGCTCCTGTTATGATAACAACCAACACTCCTTGTGTTGATAGTGCTAGGGTCACGGATTACCCAGTCATGATTAGATAACGTCAATAGCATGATCATGATATATAAATTTAATTTATAGTCTACAGTCATCTGAAATAATCCAAATGACTAATGACTAGTTGTTGGGTTATTTTATATTCAAATAACCCATAGAAGATTATTTAATATTGTTAATTAATAATCTTATATCTTTTAGCTATTTAAAATTAATTATTAGACAAAAAGTAGTTTTTATAATAATTGTAAAAGTCAAAACTTTACTAAATTAATTGATAATTATATCATAAATAAATTTGTTTTGAAGATTAATATAATAAAAAGCTATCTAAATTATATAAAAATTTCAAAATATAGTATATACAATTGTTGTATACATTTGTAGTTATGGTGTCTTTTGGCTCAATTCATTTAGTCAGAGCATTTGCTTTGGCATTGGTGTATCATACCAGGCACTACTATCTATATTACTGTGTATACTAAGTTATGCATTCACTAAGCTAATAAGCAAACTGACATTATCAATTCCAAAGAAATCGATACTCTTTTATTAGATTATTAATCTGGGTACTTGATTATCTGATTACACATATTATACAATACTTACAAATACAGTTGTTCTTCCATATAATCACCTCCTATATAATTACAAACTCTATATAATCACACCAAAAATATGATCTCATTTTTTTAATATTAAAACCACCTCTATATATTATAATCACTATCACATTTTTTTAGAAATAATAAAATTACTTCTTCACAATCACATTTATATATAATTATAGATAGTTTTTATATAAAAAAGTTATGATTTTAATAATTAAATCAACTTTTATATAATAAATAAAAGTGTTTGGAAAAATAAAATACACCTACTGTTAAATTTTTATACAAATTGGATAATTTTTTATTTTATTTAGCATATCTACAAATATAAAGTAGCTAAAAAATTACAAATTTTTAGCTATATTCATAGGTACTTAAAATGTGAAACAATACTAATAAAAAAATTATTTGATTTGCATAAAAATTTAACAGTAAGTGTATTTTATTCTTCCAAATATTAAAATAGTAACTTTTCTATATAGAAACTAACTACAAACATATATAAAATTTTAAAATACCTCTACTAAATCACTTTTTTTATATTATTTATAATTTGTGCTTATATAGAGGTACTTTTATAAAGT